ATGGGTAGTCATATATACCAGCTATAACCTCATTAACAGGAATAGGAATGAGTGGTCTGCACACTTTGCTGGAATGCCTGAAGACTGAAAAATTACCTTTCCCTTTCCCTTTTAAGAAGTCCTGGTAGTATAGTGGTTAAGAGCTCGGCTGCTAACCAAAAGGTTGGCAGTTCAAGTCCACCAGCCACTCCTTGTAAACCCTATGGGGCAGTTCTATTCTGTCCTATAGTGTCACTGTGAGTTGGAATCGACGATGGCAACGGGTTTTTGTGTTTGTTTCCCTTTTAAAATGAGAACAATCACTGCTGTCCCCACTCCCAGTGAAATTATTTATAGAGTGTGATGATAGTAATCATATTTATAATTTAGTCCATGGATTGAGGACCAGGAGAAGCCACACCTAGATGAGACTATGCCAGAACTAGAAAAGGAAGGGATACTTGATATCCAGAGATTGGGAATAGGAGAAAAGTAACTTTAAGACATTCTTTCCAGCAGTTAGATGTACCTTTGGGCTGGGGAAGGAGGCAAATGCAGGGACTGCTGTACTGGGATGGCTGGATCGTGTTGGTTGGAGGCATTTTTGTCATTGTACATATGGGGAAAAGGGTATGTGTGTTGGGCAACCTAAGAATAGAACATAACAGACACCTCTTAGGCCAGCTGCACAGTTCACAGTGACACCTCCCTTCCCATCAAAGGGGTCGAACAGCAGCAAACATCCACACACAATCTGTAGCCCGATCATGGCTGAGTAACATGGGGGTGGAAATATGATTCAAGCTGGCCAAATACTTGCTGTCCTGGGAAACTGGAATTTTGATCTAAGAGGCATAGAGATGGAAAGTTGTTCACATCCCACCAGGAAGACAGTTTATGGATTCCTACTACTAAGTTCTACAGACTTTCTCTGGTTGTTCAATAATTTCTAAGTTTCTGTGAGATACCCCCGTATCCTGTAAAGTCAATTTAACTAGCAACCAAAAGAATCTTAACTATTATACTTACCTGAATAGTTTTCTCTCATGCTACTCCTTCATATGTTCCTTTCCCTACACCCTCCACCAAAATATTGTAGCTCACCAAGAATACCATGATGTTCTGTCTCACTGAGCTTTTGCTGTTCTGCTGTATGAAATTCCCTTTTCCTTGTACTGACACCTCTAAATCTGTTTTTCCATCTGTCAAAACACCTATTTTGTAGGACTGTATGAGAATTAAATGAAATAGCAAATATGAAAACTTCCAGCACAGTGTATCATTCATAATAGGCACTGATTTTTGTTTTGTTTGGGCCTTTTTTGGGCTGATTTACTTTTCTAGCATCATATCTAACCACACTTATTCATAAACTCTATAAAAAAGAGCCACTCTAGGCTACTTGATTTTCTCAAGCCATACACTGTACTTTTTGTGTTTCTTCTTTATCAAAATTCTACTTAGTCTTCAAGGCTCAGTTAAAACTTTGGGTCCTCCACAAAGCCCTCTATATCTCACAATTGGTGTGTCAATCACTCCTTCCTCTGTACACAAAATCTTGTATCTTTATCACAGCATTTTATTTCAATCTGGTTTATATTCTGCCTCTCCCACCAGATTGTGGGCCCCTTGAAAACAAGAAGAGTGTTTTATTCATATTTATTTCTCCCACATCATACTTAGGACAGTAAACTCTCAGTTGTTAAGTGAATGTAGGAATCAGACACTGCTTGTCTTCTCTTTTCCTCTGCCTACCCGACATCGCTTCCTTAAATGCCTCAAACTAAACATGTGTAAAAGCAAGCACATTTTCTCTAAACTGCTCCCTTTCAATTTTGCTGTTTTTGTCAGTGACACTATTCTATCCCTGCTTCTGCCTCATGTCTTTGGCTTTCTCCTTTCTCTCTCACTACTGCATTGAGGGCCATCTCCTCACGGTTCCCAGAATAATCTGTCTCCACAAGTTTATGTTGTTATTTTGAATACAAATGATTTCTTCCTTTCTCTCCACTTATTAAAAGCCTGTATTTCTAGCCTCCCTCTTCCCAACTGTTCCAATGGATCCTTGAGAGATTACTATGAATGAAGGCCTCTTGCTGACCCTTGATGAACCCATAGCATGAGCAAGAAATAAGGCTTTTGAGGTGTGGGAGTTATTTATTCAGGCAACATAATCTAGCCTACCCTGACTACTACACTGACCTCGAGCAAATTACTTTGCCTTCCCAAACTTTAATTTCTTTATCTGTAAAATGGGGATTAAAATAGTATCTCTCAAATATGGTTACCGTGAGGATCAAATGAGATAATACAGGTAAAAGCACTTAGCACAGTGCTGAGCACAAAAGAAGTATATGATAGATTTTTAAAAATTTGAATTGTTACCAAATGGCAATTGGTATGTTAGCAAAAGAAATGTCAAGCTTCTAATTATGAATATTATATATTATTGTCAGTAATTTTAGCTGAAGAGCTGGGCATCTATGAATTAACATATTTTAAGATAACTACTATACCAGTTAGCCTAAATAATCATAAAAAAAATAACTCACAGTTCTATTGTTTTCTGTCATATCACGAATTTTTGGAGACCATGAAAAAATGTCAGATATATACGTACTTTTTAAGATTCATAAAGTTTATTAAGATGTTATCCTTATTCTCAAAAGCCTACTTATAATACCAAAAAACCCAAACGCGTTGCTTTTGAGTACATTCTGACTCATAGCGACCCTATAGGACGGAGTAGAACTGCCCCATAGGGTTTCCAAGGAGCGGCTGGTGGATTTGAACTGCTGACCTTTTGGTTAGCAGCTGAGCTCTTAACCACTGTGCCACCAGGGCTCCTATTTATAATAGAGATATATTATACTATAAATAAATATTTAAATATGGAATCCAGGTGAGCATATTTCATGACATATCATACTGTTATTTATATTTAATTAAATTTTCTCTCAGGTGCATTGTGTATGATTTATTCCTGGTTGAAGACTCCTTAATCCAAGATGGCCCTGACCTGATAAAAATGATAATAATACAATGTTATTGAACTATTCATGTTGAAATTGTGAATGGACGTATGTTTGGCTGTGTATACTAACTAATTCTTGCTGTTGAGTCGATTTCGGCTCATAGCAACCCTATGGGACAGAGTGGAACTGATCCATAGGGTTTTCAAGGAGCAGCTGGTGGATTCAAATTGCTGACTTTTTGGTTAGCAGCCAAGCTCTTAACCACTGTTCCACCAGGGCTCCTCTATGGCAGTGTATATTGCCACCAAAAATAAATACTATTTTTAAAAAATTATAATAAACACTAAAATTTATTTACTACTTCATAACGTAAAAAGTGCTCTGAAACATACAATTGACTTTGAATCCCATTTTGAGTTGAAGAAAATGAAGCTTAGCAAGTGACTTGCCCACAGTAACAAAAAGCTGGGACTGGAACCTAGGTCTCTTTACTACACATTCCATCTCTGTTATGCTACCGCATATAGCCTACAGTAACAGATTACTACTGGAATAACAACTTAAAACGCACGCTCTACTCATCTATATAACACAAGCGTTCCATGAAAAGACCAAAATTAGCATTACTATATTTTTTTTCAGGAGCGAAAAAACTTGGGCAAGTGACAATGTGATAACTCTGAAGACATTTTTTGCTAGGTAGTTTTTTCAGATAAATAGATTAATAAGGCCAAGATAAATTTACAAGAATAGGGTAACTCTTTAAAACAGTAAACTGATTTACAAAACCACTTCATGAAGATGTTACACCTGAGCCAACAGTTTCATACTCCTATTCTGAAAAAAAATCTAAAACGTTGTTTTTTGTCTTGACTAATCTTACTAGCACTGAAAATCAAGCGTCCACACTTTAGAAACGGAAGAACCCGGCACATGTCTTGCAGAAAATGCTGAACGAGAAAAACAGTGTAATAAACTGAAAAACACCTTAAAGTGCCACACACCTAGGATGGGCTTTTAGACCAAAATAAAACGTTTTTAAAAAAACATTTGAAACAAGCGAGTTGCCTTCCAATGTATCAAGAACAATGTATCGGATGAACTAAAGTGCCCAAACTGATTTAAATGGTATCTTTTTTAATTTTTAGAAATCTCTATACCCAATTATTTATAATGTAGCCTCTTTTTCCAAACGACAGTATGACAAATTTAAACAACGCAATTTCTGTGAAGAATTTGACACTCGTTTTTATTACGGGTCACCTTGGAGAGAGGCAAAAATCAGAGGTGCGTAAGATGCTCTACCATACTTTTTTTTTTTTTTTTTTTTTTACCTCCAGAAGCGAATGTGCAATACAACATGAAAAATGGCTAAGTTGAAACCTCGTTAACGTGGCTCATTATACGCTATGCGTTTCCATTACGATGGATATGACTCCTAGTCTCCCGCTTAGCCTCTAGTAGTGACTTGAGTATTTCCTTTCCCATAAAACGAGAAAATGGGTGGAGGACCATAGAGAGCTGTGATCCGAATAATGTCCATTAGAAATCTTCAAAAGGCATACGGGGTTCTGCCTTCCTCGCATCCTCACCCCCGAGCCCAAGCTCGGTTAGTCTCCTCTTTAAAGACCCATTTGGTCTCCTTAAGGACAAGCAGAGTTCTTTTTACGAAATCCAGCGCTCTTTTGTCCCCCAAAACGGCTGGGGGAGTGTTTCGAGGCCTCCGCTGGTGGTGGGAGAGTAGAGACGAAGGAACTGAGCTCTTCTCTCTCACCCACCCACCCTATCCACCGTCTGCAGTACCAGCCCCGGAGCAAGGGCGCGCCTGGGGTTCCCTAGTACCGCGAGGCGGGCGCTTGCTCGGCTGCGGCCCCAGCGGAGGGGCGGGATCCCGGGCCGCGCGCCGGGCCGGGGACCGGCGGAAGCTACAGCGAGACCGACCCTTCCCGTCGGCGCGGGTAGTAGAAGGGTGGCAGCCACACCCGGAAGTCGGTCTGGTAGGGTTGGGGGAAAACTGGTGAGAGCCGAGGCTTCCGGTGGCGCAAAGGGTGTCGGGAGCTGCTCCCAGCAAACCTTGTTCTCTGGCCTCTGGAGGATCCGGTGTTGCCGCCGCTGCGGCTTCTACTATCTGCGTTCGGGATAAACGGCCACGGCGGCCGCCACTGCGGCTTCCCCTGTGCCTGACTCTGTCAGTATTCGTTCCCAGGCGGCCCTCGCAGTTCCAGCAGCGGCCGCGGCCGACATGTTGTGGGGCACCGGCGCGAGTATCTGAAGGATGGTTTCGCCGAGGCGGCGGCAACGGCTGCTGGCGGGGGTGGCGGCGGCTCAGGCTCTGTAGAGCCGAGCCCGCTGGGTGTCCTTCTGGTACCGCGGGGAGGCCAGTGCCCCTGGATTTTGCCTCTGCTCCGGCGCCGTTGCGGACCGGTTAGGCGACAGCTCCCGCCCCGCTGAGGAGACACGAAGGTGGTTCCCCAGCCCCTCAAATTTCCGGACCACGCCAAGCTTTTCTCTCCTCGACCCGGCAGTGCTGTCCGCAGAACACTCAGCTCTCAGACTTTCCTACCAGCCTCGCCCTGAATCTCACACACGCGGGTGTTCCCCGCCCTGTCGAACCAGCTCCTCCCCCCTGCCTCATTTTCTGTACCCTCTTCTCGGAGCGCCCCTCAGTGTCACTCTCCGAGGGCAGCCTTTTGAGAAATCTCCGGGGAGTAGTGGACCAGAACTGGGGAGTCTTTAAAAGTCGGGCGCGAGAGATAGGAATGTATGATGGCTTCCTCATCTGGCAACGATGATGATCTCACTATACCCAGAGCTGCTATCAATAAGATGATCAAAGAGACTCTCCCCAATGTCCGGGTGGCCAACGATGCCCGGGAGCTGGTGGTGAACTGCTGCACTGAATTTATTCACCTTATATCTTCTGAAGCCAATGAGATTTGCAACAAATCGGAAAAGAAGACCATCTCACCAGAGCATGTCATACAAGGTAAGTCGCATGTGTGGCATTTGGTTTAAAAGGGGCCGGGGGACAGTCTGTTAGTCGCGTGACTCATTTGTGTCAAAACCTTCATTCCTCTTCATTGGTAAATACTGTTGAATGAAAAAGCCACACGGGCAAAGAGGCAGCATGTGCCTTATGAAAATCCCGATGTGTATTCTTGTGGTACTTTGCATACGGCTGATACAAGTAAGGACTGCAAGCATTTAGGATCACCTAACAGCCCCAAAAGATCAAGTATTGGTAATGGTCTCAATTTACAGCCGAAGCAACAAGAATTGCTTCCCCAAAGTTGAACCCGGGTAATGACAGTTGAGAAGGGAACCCAGAAGTTCTCCCTTGGAAAGTTAAAATTCAGACGGAAGAACTTCAAGCAGGAGTGGAAACAGAGCACCCTTCCCCCACCCCACCTATTCACTAATGTAGAGGAAAAGGTCAATATTCTGAACACGTGAATAAAAAAATTCTTAACAGAAGTGTATTCAGCTCGGTACAGTTAATTGGTGTTGAATAAGGGCCACTTTTTTTTTTTGCTTTAGAATAGTTTAATGCTTGTTCATTAAGTTTCCAAAAGCATTTCAGTTCTATTATGTAAGGAAAGAGTGAATGTTCTTGCACTGTTGTATGGAGATAAATTTGAATGCAACTAAAAGCTTGGATTGAAAGGTTGTGAGAGATTTTTTTTCATGAAACATTTCCCTATCCTTCCCTGCTGTCATTTCCATTTAGATGTATTCATTTCATCTTTTACTGAATAGCGCTTTTGAAAATTTTAAGTTTTTTTTCCTCCCATTTGGCAAAGAATTTAGTCCAGTAATAGCGATTTGGGGGACCGTATTCTGATGGTTTCAGGGATGAGGAAGTGTATTTACTAGTCTTAATGTTTTGGGAAACACTTTCTGTGATTTTTACATGTACTGTTATGCAGAAAGTTGCATTCAGTTTGAGCTGAAAACTTGCCTTAAAATCGTAACAATCTCTTGATTGCTTTTGAAGTCAGGAAAAAAAAAGTTTTAAATGGTTAATTTAATCATTTCGGTAAGCAGATAGTTGTCTGTCATTTCAGTTTTATAATTAACTTTTTAAATGGTAACTTTCCTGTTCTACTGAAGTAGGGAACACATCTGCTCATATTCACCATATCCAATATTTTACTGTCAATATTGACAAAAGGATTAAATGATTCATTTTTGATCCTTAATGATCTGCTGAAGGTAGATTTAAAACATACCGTGCCATTTCAATGCATAAGGATTCTTAAAGCTAGTGTTTTACTTTTTTTCTACTTTTTTTTTGTGCTGAATATTCTAGCAAGTAAAATGAAAGCCAAGTTGTCTATTTTTCTCTGTTTTTGTTTTTACATTGTATGTGTGATTGCTGTCATGTAGTCTTTCACAAGACAATCCCACACAGATACCTATAATTTCCTTTTACAACTCATAGAAGGAAAAAAAAGACCTTTTATCAACATTGCCTTTCTAATGAAAATTGCAAAAGATTTCAGCAGGATATGCCGAAACATTTGTTTACACCAGAGAAGTGGGGATCATTGTAAAACTCTAATAACACATTACAGTCTTTCTTCTTGGGGAGTTTATTCTATTCTAGGATATATTTAGATTTCTGATTGACATGATGGAATAAAAGTGCAGCTGTAGCAAGCAGTATGCTAAATAGTTCAGTTTTGGAATATGCTAAATTCAGTGTAATATATAAGTCAGAAAGTTACAGTGAAAGCATTTTTCCTTGTGTACTGAGGATGATTTATTAATTTTAAAATATCTATACCTGTTGTAGTCTTATAGATTTACCTTTTTTTTTTAAACTTGTAGCATTGCTGCTGTTGAGTGGGTAAGGGCCGACATTTTTGCCCAAGAATTGTCCCCAGTTTGAGGAGTATATTTTATACATTTATAATTTCATGTTAACCTCATGTTGCCTAATTATTTTAAAGAATTTTTGTTTTGAGCAGTTAAAAATTTTTCAAGGAAATGTGTAAGGTGTATATAGTTTAGGTGTTTAAGGTGTAGTTTTACAGACTAACTATGGAAAATTAGGTTGGGAAATCATGGTAGATAATGACATTTTTTACACTTTTCTGTCAGCATTGGTTATTTAGGAATGTAAGATATAGCCAAGTAAAATAATAATGTAATTTTTAAAATGATATGTTCTTCATGTGTTGAAGTTTGGATTTTTAGTAATAAGTTTAATGAGCTAGACTTTGCTTCAGGACATTTCACTTGTTCACTTGTCACCTAGTTTTACCTTGTCAAAGCAAGTTAAGCATTATGAGGCAGTTTTCTAAAATGGAAGTTAAAGTTGAAGTCGTGTTATTACCAGTTAATCTGTGAAATACCATAACTTAGTTAAGTTTTTTTTTCGTAAATAGTTTACTTATTTTGAGTTTGAGAAAATAGATTTCAGATACATGCATAGAGAGAGTTCTAAGTTTTAGCAGTTTCCCTTTTATCTCTTTACTGTTTTCTGTGGACACATATTCCTGAATGAGTTCTAACATGTCTCTTGCATTATGAGACGAATTGACATTGAGAATCAAGAGTTGCAAGCTGTACACTGGAAATTCTTTGGCCTTAGGCAAATCTGTTAACTAAGGTTTTTCCATTCTGTATAAATAATACGTAATGGTTTCAGGTGCAACTTAAAATTATGGAGAATCAGTTGGGGTTAGAACCTTACGTGAAATATGCCACAATAAATAATAATTTTAAAAATTTGTAGTGGTACTGATTAGAATATAAAGCTGAAAATCTGTTGTCTTACATCTAATCTTTACATCATGATGCCATTTGCAAAGGCAAAGTGAAAATGAGAATATTTTAAGTGATATTATTTTCTTCCTGCATTTTTAATCTCTTTCTACTTTTTTTCCCCCCACATTTTTGAGAACAGTAACTGAAAGTAGTGAAAGTTTGAAAAGGTCTCTATGAGAATGGGCTTCTTCAGCAGTTGAGTTGCTCCAAGCTATCTCTGATGAAGGACTTTTTTTTTTTTTCTTTTCTACTTCTAGTCATTTGCACACGGGTGCTTTTGTAAAATACTGTCAAAATGGATCGCTAGAAAAAATGAAATGAAAAAAGACATAAAAGTTAAAACTTTTATTATTAGATTCAGTAGACATAAATTACTCTGCTAAGTGGCTATGAAAGTATGTTTTAGGTGAAAGTTTGTAGAGCAAATTAGTTTCCCATTCAACAACTTGTACACAATATGTTCCATGACATTGATTTGCAATCCCCACCCTGTGTCAACATTCTCCCCATTTCCGCCCTGAGTTCCCTGTTTCCTCTTGTCTGGTTTTCCTACCCTTTCCTGCCTTCTCATCTTTACTTTTGGGCAAATGTTGCCCTTTTGGTCTCCGATAATTGTTTGTTCTATGGAGCATGTTCTTTTCGGGTGTTATTGTTTATTTTATAGGCCTGTCTGTTGCTTGACTGGAAGGTGGTTTCCGGGAATGGCTGCAGTTACAAGTTAGAGGGATATCTTAGGGCCATAGTGTTGGCGGTGTTATGAAAGTGCTTAAAGCTTACTTTGAATTTCCTTACTTAACTCATACTTGACCTTTAAAGGCAATTCTGGCACAAGCCCATGGACCACAATTTGAGTAACTTTGCTCTAAGGTTTAAACCACAGTCTGTTTTGTAAAGTGGATGTGAGGTAGTTTCGGAATCATGGCATCAGAGTGATTGCAGAGAAGTTGCGATAATAATGAGAATGATGTATTGCCCAAATAATATACAGATTTTTTCCCCAAAGAGACACATATAATTTACGATTTATCACAATCAGGTAGGATTTTATCATCATTCTCACTAAAAGTGATATGTCTTTTGCATTTGTTTTCCTTCTGCCATCTAACAATTTTCTACTTGGCACTGTGCTAGGTACTGCTAAGGATATAAAGATAAATGATACCTGATTCCTACTCTGCCATCAGTCTCTCCTTGTCCCAGGTTCCCAAGAGTAGTGATGCTAAGGAAGATATGGATCTTAAGGGTCTTCAGAAACCTTTGCCAGGCTGATGATTCAAAAAGCCGTTAGTGTGTTTTGGCTGTTAATGTATATTAAGTGGAGTACATCACTCCCCTTCCTTCCAACAAACAAAAAGAAGAGAATGTTGGTTTATATATATTTTTTAAGGTATATCACATAATTTTTTTTTAATGGAAAGCTTGCTTTATGCATTTTGAAGGATAATCTGAGTCACACAATTTCATGTTATAACAAAACTTTTCAGGAGTACGTTACTTTTGTAAAATAAGATAAGCCTATATTAAGATTATTGTTGCTGGGGAGAAGCTTTTACTCTTTTTTTTTTTGAAATAGCTGTCTTATTTGTCTTTTAAATTGGGAAAATGTCCTAAGTGTTTGGGTTTTTTTTTCGTCGAATATCCTTTGGCCTTTTCTGGGTGTAGTTTTTAGATGGTAGAGAGTGGCAGACAGATATCTGGAGAACAAGAGATGTGTGTTTCTTTTACCCACACACACAAAATTTCTATTTTTTCTTTTACTCTGTGATCCATAGAGCCAGGGCCATCAATAATCCATAAGGCCTCCTTGTACAGATTAGAAAAAGACACCCCTTCCTTAAAAAGCCTTTATTTCCATCTGCCAGAAAAAAAAAGTCATAATAAACATATAAATCTATGATCTTTACAGTGCCTCCCCACCCCAGGTATGGTAGTATTATGCACTGAACAACCTGCCCAGCCATAAATGGTGGCCCTGCTGAGAGCCATTTCCCTTCTCGTATAAGGTTCTCCTTTATGTAAAGTGGAAATGACTACTGCTACTTGGTAACAAATGATGTAAAACATCCTTATTTAGATTATGTTATAATCTCATTATTGTTACCTACTAGCCAAAAATGTCTTTAAAGTTTAGGTTAAAATCAGTGCAGTTTTTGAAATTAAATTTATGGCTGTTCCTGTTGAGCCATTTTATTGAGAGTGCAGTATTCATTATACATAGTAGCTCTTTGAATAATATTAACCTTGGACATACTTGCAAATTTTTTTAAAACAGTTTTCTCAGCTGTAAATTTTTTATTTTTAACCCAAGCCCTCCATGGTTTGGAGTGGATTTTCTTAATGTCTAGTCTAGTAATTCATGCAGTTTTGAAAAGTTGTCTCTCTTTTGTGTTTATCTATTAGTTTTGTTAATTTAAATATTTCATATTGTAAATATGCTCGTTTGACGCAAATTTAGGTTTGCTAATGTGTATTTGTATATTTATAATGTACATTTAGGTCTATACATTTACTAGGGTACTTTTCTAAATTTAAGAGAAAAAAATAAAAAGGAATAAGACATAGTTCAAATGGATCAAGTAAGTCTTATGTGCTAGACACTGTGCTGAATGCTTTATATTTATTACTTGTTGATTCCTACAACCCTAAAGCTAAAACAATATAATAGTGACTATTTTATACCATCTGTGGGCCAGGCTATGTTCTTAAGCTCTTTATTTATATTAATTCATTTATTCTTCACAGCAACCCAGTTCGATGAGACGTAGGCACTGTTGTTATTCTTGTTTTAGAGGTAAGAAAACTGTGAGGCATGGAAGTAAAGGAGCTTACCTAGAGTCACACAGCTAATATGAAGCAGAACTGGGAGTCAATCTTTGGCAGCTTGACCCAGGGGCCTGCATGCTTAACCACTATATTTAATTGCTGTTGGAAGTAGGAAGATATTACAAAATAAGTGCTATTCTCATTTCATAGATGGAAAAACGAGATTTTAGAGATCTTAAGCTACCTATCCAAAGGTTATACAAATACTGTGATAACCAAGTGTCAAATTGTGGATCTAATTAATTTCAGAAGGGGGAGATGATTTCTGTCTGGGAGGATCAAGCAAGTTTAATTGAAGATGGGAGTTTGATCTGGGCCTTGAACGTATTGCCATCAGCATGAATGTGGGAAATTCTGGTATCTATTGAGAAATATTGAGTGGTCAGGTTTAGCAGAAGAGTGTAGAAATTTAATGGCAGAAGTAAAACTGAAAAAGGTAGGTGGGCTGGATCCTGGAGGACCTTGGTATAAAAAAAACCTGTTGCTGTCAAGTCAAATAGAACTGCCCCATTGGGTTTCCACGGAACGGCTGGTGGATTCGAACTGCTGACCTTTTGATTAGCAGCCAAGCTCTTAACCACTGAAAATCAGACTTTGTTTAGAATATGATGGGAAACCATAAACCATTCTCTTGATTTCTTTTGGTATTGTCTCCAGCAAGTATGATTGAAATACATTATTATGCTTGTGTCTTTACAAAGAGAGAAAATAAAACAAAAAAATTTAGTTTCTAGAATTGACATTTAAAAAAAATCAGTCTGTCAGTTTAAGTGAAAAATGCAGGCTGCCTAATCTTCACTTATTCTTCCATTCTGTATATCCCAAACTTCTTGATGCCAAGGATTATGTAGTAGTTTGATATACAGAACTCAGAGTAATGCTTTACTGAGATTTTTGGGAGGGGAGATGAGTTTTTTTAGGGGGATGAGCCCTGGCAGCATGGTGGTTAAGAGCTATGGCTGCTAACCAGAAGGTCAGCAATTCGAATCCACCAGCTGCTCCTTGGAAGCCCTATGCGGCAAGTCTACTCTGTCTTATAGGGTCGCTTTGAGTCAGAATCTACTCGAAGGCAACGGGTTTGGTTTTTGATTTTTTAATTTACTTAATTAAAATTCGAGTAGTAGTACTCTAAGGAGGCCTGGTGGTGCAGTGGTTAAGCCCTTAGCTGCTAACCGAGAGGTCATCTGTTCGAACCCATCAGCCGCTCTGTGGGAGAAAAGACCTAGTGATCTGTTCCTGTAAAGATTAAAACATCCCAATGCCGGCAAGTTGATTTTGACTCAGTGACCCTATAGGACAGGGTAGAACTGCCGCTTAGGATTTCCAAGGCCATAATCTTTACAGAAGCAGACTGGCACATCTTTCTTCTTTGGAGTGGCTGGTGGGTTCAAACCACTGGCCTTTCTTATTTAGCAACCAATTACCTAACCACTGCACCACCAGGGCTCCTGTAAAGATTACAGCCTAGGAAACCCTATGGACCAGTTTTACTGTCCTTGCTATGAGTTGGAATCGACTCAAGGTCGTGCAACAACAACAATAGTACTCTACTTTTTGGTATTAGGTTATTTCTTTAAAAAGTTTATGAAGACAGCTTAATATTTGACATAATTAAAGTTATAAATTATTGCAAATGTGGGTTTGGTATGCTCTCTGTGAAGAATAAATCCATAAGTGAGAATTGAAGGCATCTTTACTGAAGGGAGTCTGGTTCATCGTAATTGTTGAAAAACTACAAGAACAGATGAGCTCAGTTAAATTCATTTAATGTGTTTTCCACCCACCTGTGTTTCACCACTGGCTCAGAATACAAATATGCCTTTGGGGCATTAGTCAACACGTAGAAGATTATAAAATATACTTTTAAATACTATGAGCCAAGAAGAAATTTTATTCCTTGTCTTTCTAGATTTCAGAAGGCATTTAGAGAGTGCATGATTTTTCTTGTAAAATTTTCTTTCTAAATGTGAAAAAATAAAGAGAATTTTTTGTTAATACTTTTTCTATCCTTATAGTTTTCCTTCATCCCAGCGTTTCTGCCACATCACTTGAAAATGTTTTTATAGTGCTTCCTGTTCAGTTTAATTTTCAAGGGAAACCTGTTGCCTGACCATAAATGCTGAATTTCGTGAGCTATTTCTACCAGTATGCCCTAAACTTGGCAGTTTGAGTGTCTTTGCTAAAAATAGTTTCCTGTTGGTATATTAGACAAAAGAAAAGCTTATCTGTTCTTTCATCCCATCCATTTGAAATTTAGTAGAGCATGTGTCAACAGCCTACTTTTTTCAAGCCAAATGACACAGAATATATTTGTTACTATTAACAAATATATTCCAAATATTTGCCTTTTTTGTTTTGGGAAAGTGCCTGACTTAATGATGTTTGACTTAGACCATCAGTGGTATAGGAGAAATGTTTTCCTTACTAAAGCTACATGTTCTTACATTGGACCTTTTTTTCTTACAGGAAATGTTTTGGTGTTTTAAAAATTAGTCAGAAAGAAAAGGAATAGTGAAGGCTATGTCTTGAAATGTTTCTAAGTTTTAACTGAATTGCAATTTAATTTAAGCAAATTGATGAAATACTTTGACTCAAGTCATAGTTGCGGTACAATTATTAAAATAGGTAAAATACTAGAAAACAACAAAATACCTGTCAAAAAAAAAACCCACAAAAGCATCATTTTCCGTAGGTAGGGGAAAAGTAATGTTTTATCATCCTTTTATATTTTCGTGTTTTCCCCCAGCACTAGAAAGTTTGGGCTTTGGCTCCTATATCAGTGAAGTAAAAGAAGTCTTACAAGAATGCAAGACGGTAGCATTAAAAAGAAGAAAGGCCAATTCTCGTTTGGAAAACCTTGGCATTCCTGAAGAAGAATTATTGAGACAGCAACAGGAATTATTTGCAAAAGTAAGCAATGCATTTTAAATTATTTTAATCTAAATCCTATCCTGTTTCATACTGGTTTCTGAATTCATTTCCTAAATCAACGTATGTATCCAGAAAGAATTCTCTCTTCTCTGGCTGAATGTTTGATCATAGAGTCTGATTTTTGAATCTGGCCAGTTTGACTCTGGTTTTTATAGCAGTAAACATTTGCGCCTATTTTCTAAAGAGAGCAACTCCAAACAACTACTGTGATTTTACTTTTTGATGTTTTTTTCAGACAGAATGATCATTTAAAAGCATGAAAAGTACACCTAAACGTTCTTAAAATTTTAAATGATGGGCTGGTGGGAAAATACTGTATCATTTTATGATGAATGACATACAAGAAAAACCTGATTAACTTTGTAATTAAATTAAGTCTTCAGTACACTTTTAAAACACTATAATCTTAAAAATTCTTAAACGGCTGATGAAGCAGAAAAAAGGAGAAATTTTCTCCTTTCTTGCTTGCTAAAGTTTTAGTGCTCAATCTGTGAAAAGTTAGCACCAAGTACTAATAGCCCTCTATTTAAAAAAAAAAAAAAAAAAAAGAGGACTGACCAGTGAAAATCTAATGAATAGCAGTGAAACATTTTCTGACATAGTGCTAGAAGATGAGCCCTCTATTTAAAAAAAAAAAAAAAAAAAAGGAGGCAGTGGCAAAGCTGTTTTTCCCTATTAAGTTCTGACCTCTCATTTGAAGTTGTAAGACAGTGTTTTGAGTAAATAGAAGAGGTGGGATTTCTCACCAGGTACTGTAGTAACCATTAGAACTGGGAAGTATCATTTTAGATAATCTCTTGCAGATGAGCACCAAAACTGATTTCTACGCAACTAGAACTATCAGTTTACTTTACGTGAAAAAGCATTGAGTTTTGAGTGGTGCTAGGCACTAGGCACCTGATACCAGTCAAACTAATAAGAAAAATAAAAGCTTACTAACACTTGTTGACTTCTCACAATTTGGTGGTCAAGTAATATACTTTTATTACCTCATTTAATCCTCACAATAACCTATGACGTAGGCACTAAAGAGGAAAAGTCTTTAAGACAGGCATGAACACATGCAAACAATACTATAATCCCTATTATAATCCATATAAATATGAGTAACCCAAGAAGAAGTGATGATTTAAAAAAATATATTAATGGCTATTTATTGATTCTCTGCTATTGTGGGTCACCTAAAGAGTGCTGAATTCAACGTGATGAAAGAAAGAAGATGCTCTGTTAGATACTTTACATACCTTGCAGAATTTTCATGACATAATATGTTTTATTATGCCTGGTTTACGTATTAAGAAACAGACTCGAGGTAGAGAAACTTGCATGAGATCATTCATTCATTTGTTCTACAGATATTTACTGAAGTCTTCACTATTTACCAGGCTTTGTGCTAGGTGCTAGGCTTACACAGTCAACAGAAGAGACATGGTTCCTATCATAATGGAACTTAGTCCACTGGGAAAAATTGACTTAAACAAACAAAACAGGTAAGTTCATACAGGTAGGAAGGGTTGGAGCCTAAATTCAAACTCACATCTTCTGAATCGAAAATACGTGCTCTTTCTCCAATACCATGCTAATGCTCTAGCCACCATTTTGTCTGCTTAAATTTATTTTGGAGCTTTTAAATGGAGCATGCTTTTATTCTTGCCAGGACAAAGAGATAAGTCATAGAAATAATTTACTACTTGCCAAATCTGTGTTCACTTCTCTGCCCCTGTTACTTGATTTTTTTTTCCTCCTCTTTATCTCCCTTCTATCTTAGTGTGGCCTGTGGGCAAGGATCCCCTAGTATTTCTTTACTCTTGTGAGGAAGACTAACAGACCAGAGAGGTAAAATTATAGCAGCTGCCTCGTACTTCTTTTCTAAAGTCCTAAGCATGAAAGGAAATAAGTAAATATAACATCTTTTTATCACTTTGATGTCTTTTCATTTTTTAGACTTTATTTTAAATACTAACACAATGATAGCCTCATTTGAAGCTGTCTATAACTGCTAGCAGCAGATATTTGGAAAGCAGGAAAACTCATTAGTACATCAAGATTAAAGTTAACTGTAAATTATAAATAAGTCATTTTAGTATGTGGAAGTGAGAATCTTAAAACATAATGAAAACCTCCAAAAGAAGTGAATTAGGAAGTATTTGCCTACTTAACCTCTCTTTTGTACCCTCATTTTAGGAGAAAAATATTTGGGACGGATTTGGTAGGATGCAAGGGAGGATAAAGGAAATTAGAGTAACTATCATTGAAGATTTTAATTTGTGGAAATAAATGCAAAAAAAATTGTATTGATCAGCAATGATTTTAATAAAGGCACAGGAATGCTTTTTATATTCAGAGAGAGAAAAGTATGTGAGCCAATATGGGGCCACGGTACTTTAAAGTCAGTTAAATTTGACATATAACCAGTACATAACTTTGCAGACCATTTAATAGAACTTGTAGAGACTTGAAATTATTTGAATTTTTTTTCTGTGCCATGAAATTATACCTATTTATAGTTGATTAAGAGCCCTGGTAGTGCAACGGTTAAGTGCTTAGCTGCTAACCAAAAAGTTGACAGTTCGAACGCACCCCCTGGCTCCATGGGAGCAACACCAGGCGATCTGCTTCCATAATAATTACAAGCAAGAAAACACTATGGCACAGTTATACTCTGTCACATGGGGTCACTGAGTCAAAAATCTACTCGACAGGACCTAACAACAACATAGTTGATTAGGCCACAGAGTTTTTAAATTGGTTAAATTCACATGTTTGGTTTGCCTTACAATTTTTTAATGAACTCTTAAAATGTTTTTAGTGAAGCACTCTTAGTCTACTTTGAACTCTTTGGGTATTCCTGCCATAAAAGTAAGTATCCCTGTGTGTCACAATAAGTGTTTTCCATATTTGTTTATAAAAATGGGTGAAAATAGTTAGAGTATACCTGCTTTTTAATTTTCTTTTTTTGTTTTTTTTTTTCTGTTGTACTTTAGATGAAGGTTTACAGAACAAACTATCTTCTCGTTAAACAGTTAGTATACATATTGTTTTATGACATTGGTTAACAACCCCAAGACATGTCAATACTCTCCCTTCTCGATGATGGCTTCCCTATTACCAGCTTTCCTCTCCCTTCCTGCTTACTCGTCCTTGCCCCTGGGCTGGTGTGCCCCTTTAGTCTCGTTTTATCCTATGCTCCTGTCTAATCTTTGGCTAAAAGGTAAACCTCAGGAGTAAATTCATTACTGAGCTAAAAGGGTGTCCAGTGGCCATACTCTCAGGGTTTCTCCAGTCACTGTCAAGCCAGTAAGTCTGGTCTTTTTTGAGTTAGAATTTTGTTCTACATTTTTGTCCAGTTCTGTCCGGGACCCTCTATCGTGATCCCTGTCATAGCAGTCAGTGGTGTTAGCCGGGCACCGTCTGGTTGTACTGGACTCAGTCTGGTGGAAGCCATGGTAGTTGTGGTCTGTTAGTCCTTTGGACTAATTTTTCCCTTGTGTCTTTAGTTGTCTTCATTTACCCTTGCTCCTGAAGGGGTGAGACCAGTGAAGTATCTTAGGTGGTTACTCACAGGCTTTTAAGATCCCAGACGCTGCTCACCAAAGTAGAATGTAGAACATTTTCTTTATAGGCTATGTTATGCCAGTTGAGCTAGATGTTCCCTGAGACCATGGTCCCCACAGCCCTCAGCCCAGTAATTTGGTCCCTCAGGGAGTTTGGATTTGTCCATGGAGCTTCCATGACCTTACCCTGAACAAGTTGTGCTGGCTTCCCCAGTATTATGTACTGTCTTAATCTTCACCCAAGTTACCACTTAGCTATTGTCTATTTAGTGTTTTTCCACACCCACTCCTCCCCTCCCTCATAAACATCAAAGATTGTTTCTTTTTGTGTGTAAACCTTCTCATGAGTTTTTATAGTAGTGGTCTCATACAATATTTGTCCTTTTGTGATTGACTTATTTCACTCAGCATACTGCCCTCCAGATTAATCCATGTTGTGAGATGCTTCACAGATTCATCATTGTTCTTTATCCTTGCATAGTACTCTATTGTGTGTATGTACCATAGTTTGTTTATCCCATTCATCTGTTGATGGGCATCTAGGTTTTTTTCCATCTTTTTGCTATTGTGAACAATGCTGCAGTGAACATGGGTATGCATATGTCTATTCATGTGACCGCTCTTATTTCTCTAAGACATAGTCCTACCAGTGGGATTTCTGGATCATAGAGTATTTCCATTTCTAGCTTTTTAAGGAAGCGCCATATCACTTTCCAAAATGATTGTACCATTTTGTGTTCCCACCAGCAGTGCATAAGAGTTCCAGTCTCTGTGCAGCCTCTCCAACATTTGTTATTTCCACTTTTTTGATTCATGCCAGTAATGCTGGGGTGAGATGGTATCTCATTGTGGTTTTGATTTGCGTTTCTCTAATGGCTAGTGATCGCAAGCATTTCCTTATGTGTCTGTTGGCCCCCTTCATGTCTTCTTTGGTGAAGTGTCTGTTCATTTCCTTTGCCCATTTTTTAATTGGATTATTTGTCTTTTTGCTGTAGAGGTGTTGGATTTTCCTGTAGATTTTAGAGGTTAGACCTTTGTCGGATTTGTAGTAGCCAAAACTTTTTTCCCAGTCTGTAGGTTCTCTTTTTACTCTTTTGGTGAAGTTGTTTGATGAGCATAAGCGTTTAATTTGTAGACAATGTCAGTTATCTAGCTTATGTTTTGGAGTTTGAATATTGTTAGTTATGATTTGTATCCTGTTAATGCCATATGTTAGGGTCTCTAGCACTGATCCTGTTTTTTTCTTCTATGATCTTTATGGTTTTTGGTTTTATATTTACAACTCTGATCCATTTTGAATTAGTTTTTGTATATGGTGTGAGGCATGGGTCCTGTTTCATTTTTTTGCAGATGGATATCCAGTTTTGCCAGCACCATTTGTTAAAAAGACTGTCTTTTCCCCATTCGATGGACTTTGGGCCCTTG